GGTTCAGAGGGATATCCTATGGTGTCCTAGATAGCGGTGGATGCCTATTTGTGGATACCTGAAATTAGCACTTGGCATTTAGAGTGAGCAAGTTCAATAAAGCATTTACTTTCAGGATAATTTAGGGTTAGTCTAAACACTGACTGTTCAGACTGATGTCCACTGACAGGAATGGGAACTTAGACTGTGGTACACAGTGGGGTCATCTTTGTATAAACCAGACCTCAAAGTGTTTCACCCCAGTGTCACTGGATATGGGACATGTAATTTAGTATGTGTGAAATCCATCCATAGAAGGTGAAATTAGAATTTGATTTCAGGTTAAGTGGACAAAAAGGCATAAGTTAAAGCAAACTTCTAGCAACAAGACCTCAGGTATGCCCCTTCCATTCATCTGATAAAGCAAGCTCTCTTCACTTCTTTCTTTTGCTTACATCCTCTGACAGATATTTCTTTCCAACAACAGCAAAGCTGCCAATTAGTGGGATCTGTTTGATTCTCAATTTTAAAATTATTCAGCGAAAGAACAGATTTCATCAGTATTTCCTCCATGGAACAGTTTGTTTCCTTTCAAATCAGTCATGTACTTTCACTCATGTGTGTTTGAGTCAACAGGGCTTCTCTGCAATTCCTGTTGAAGAGGATCAGTTGGTTTGTTATTGCTATGTTTGTCATTTAGTCAGCCTCCAAGGAGCCAAGCAATTTCCTGTAAAAGTGAAAACACAAAGAATTATGTGTTCTAATTAAGGACATCGTAAGTTGTAGAAAGAAATATCAGGCAGCAAGGCTGAAGGGATGGGATTGCTGGATTTACTGTGGCCATGACAGTGTTCATATTGATAAGCAGTGAATACAAGGGTAAAGAGGTTTTTTGAAAAAATGTTATACTGTTTGGTCTTGTGAACTCTTAAGCAGCTAGGTTTTGTATTTAAGAGGGCATGCCCATTCTCATACCCCTGTGGTATGGGAAAGAAAATGATTTGTAGAAAATACCAGGCCAGTGCTTGTTTTTCTGTTTGTCTCTTCAATGGAAAATGTTTTTGTCAGTCTCATATTTTGTATTGCTTCTAGTTCTATGGGGGGAAAATTATGCACATACCAGTGATGACTGCTTTTTTAGGAGGCAAGAGAAAAGTTGGAAAGAGGAAAAAAGTTAGGAAAATGAGATTAGAAGAAGAGTTTAGAGAAGAAAAAAGGTAAAAAAATACATGATGTGTGTGGATAAATTGGACTGCCATTGGAGAGGGAGTTGCTGGAGGATGGGCATATGTCAATGCATTTGTGATGAGGTGTAAGAATAGTAACAGATCTTAAAATTCCCCATGGAAGACATTGGTAAGTCCTTGCTGCTCCTTCCAAGAAGACTGGTTGCACTTCTGCTTTTGAAGGGCATTTGGCCCCATTTTTAATCAAGTGCCTGATATCTGTTCACTATATGGGACTTGGGCCATGAGGAGATTCTGATATGTCTAATGGATGACTAAGGAAGGTTTCTGGCATTTATTGCTCAGGTCAGCAGAAGCTCCAACAGTTGCAGTGATCTTGAAATTGAATCTTCCTGCAAACAACCCAAATATCAATAAGCTCTCTGAGGCCGGAGAATGACTGTCAAAGAGATTTCAGGTGTTCATACTTAAGAACTGGCCTTGGCTGACTCCTGGAACTACTGTCAGCTGAGAGATGAAGAGGACTGAGATCCACAATGTGAGCAGAATTTCCCAGCCTCAGTTTAGGGCACAGGAAAGGCATCTTGAGGCATGCACAACAAATATTCTCTTTGACAGGTTCTGCCTGGGTAAGTAATGGAACTGCTTGCAGCATTGCCTTCCTGATTTACCTAATCCTTAA